GTTATTTTTCGTTTTTTTTTAATTTCCTCTAATTACATCCATAATAATATGTATTTTCATTTCTTTAATAATATGAGTAAAATTTTTTGTTCAATATTTCTTCATTATCATTGCCATATATATGCATATATCTGATAATAGTTTTAATTTTTTTTCATCCTTCCTCTTCCTTACTCTTTATTATTTTTTAAATAAATTATTGCAAATATTAATTTACAGTAATTTTTTTCCTTTGAGTATTGAACAAAAATGGAGTATTTGTATTTCAATCCAATATAACTTTAAAATGTTTTTAATTATAAAGTTTTTTTTGAGAAACTTTTAAATTTTAGCATCAAAAAAAAAAATAAGCCAATACATTCGTCATACTTTGTTAATTAATATTTAAGGAAAACTATAATTAAAGTAAAAATGGACACAAAAAAAACTTCTATGCAACTGTTATAAAATTATTATATGCTAATTATTTGCCGCATAATTAATTAATATGTCTTAAGCAATGATTTATTTGCATTTTAATTTTATGCATATTTAATTATTGTTTCAGGTAAATCAAAAATACCTAGACTAACTATTAAAACTTATAAAGTTAGAAAATGGAAGTAATTACAGTATACATTGTGTGTTGAATAAAAAAAAAAAACGAATAAAATACTCATGTTTTCATATGTTTTAAATCATGGAATTATCGAGTTAATTAAATATACTACTTCTGCATTAGATGACACAATTAGATGCTAATTCATGACATTAGCATATGTCTTCCATTTCTTCCTAATTTTTTATTTTTGAAAATATTATAAAAAAAAAGGAAAAAAAGGTGGAATCAAACCAACTTTTTAGCTCCACCATTAGCAACATTGACAATTCTCGAAAATTTTTGTCACCTGCAAAGTAATGGAATTCATTTATCAACGACAATAAATCATCCCATACTTCTGTTTATTTTATCTACGAAAGAACTGTTTTAAGTAAAAAACGAATTAATTCAAAAAAAAAAAAAACGAAAATATGATGAAATTTTAGTAGAAAAAATTAAATCAAAAAATATTCGCCATGTTAAGATCTAATTCTTATTGCTGCCCTCATTCCATGTGACAACAAGAAATTTGTCATCAATGACATCAGTACTTCATTTGGAACAAGCAAATGCATTAATTCTCAATGTGATGATAATTAAATTACTGAATGCTTTAAAGAAATAGCAATTCAATGAAGGATTGATTAGTGGATAAAACTAAATCTAAAAAGAAAAAAAAGTAAAATCTTTAAGTCTATTCAAATTTTAATAAATTTAAAAATTATTTGTTTAAGACACGCACTGAATAATTTTTATTCGTTATTTATGTCATTGGGATTAGTAAAAGGTGTGACATGGATTAGGTATCATTTTATTCTAATGATAATGACTGTTAATAACTGATACGAAATGATAATAGTATTTCTTTTTTTTTCTTTTTTTTTGCAAATTTAAAAATTTACAGATCAGAAATATGGAGAAGAATAAAAGTGATACAGTGTTATAAAGTAAGAAGACCAAATGATCGTTTTATATTAATCTTAAAAAAAAATGTTATGAATGAATTCAATTAAAAACTATAATACGAATCGAATTAACAAATGATTTCATCAAATAATTGAGCAAAAAAAAAAAAAAATAATGAAATTCAAAATGACATAACAGATGACACAATAAGTTTTTCGAAAAGTAATGTCTTTTTTTTTTCTTCTTCTTCTTTTTAGCAAATTAAATTCCTTTTTAATAAATGACATTCTTTTTTTTTCAACAAGTAACTTTGTTTAATATATAAAATGAAATAATTAAAATTTATTAAGATTTAAAAAATCTCCATAAATTTTCAAATCAAAAATGAAAATTGACAAAGTTGCATGTAATCATATAAAAGGAGGAGAAAAAAATCAATAAATTTTACACTTCAGTACCATTTTAATTTGCATAAAGTGAAATGAAATTTATTTAAATTTGCAACAATCAATAAAAATAAGCTAACTTCTCGTATGTAACCACAATTGTTTATAATTTAAAAATGCGAAAATTCCCACAGAAGATTATTTTAGACTATTTCAAACGAAATAAATAATTTGCAAAATTTGATAGGAAAAATTGGCAAAAGCAATTTTAAATATTTACAGGGTTTTTTTTTCCTTTTTATTTATTAGCAACTGAACTGAATTTCTTCGTTTTATTTTTATTTTTTTAAATCGAATTTTCGTCAACCTATTATATGTGATTAATTGGTAATTAAATTAATTTCAGGTTACATGTTTTACCAGTTAACTACTGATCCTATCAAATATCAATCTAATTAGATTGGGATAATTTAATGAGAATAAAATATTTGTTATTGTTGTATAATTCTGATCAAATTTTAGTAACAGCTTCTATGATATTAAAGTACTCAATAACTCAATATGATTTTCTTTTTTCTTTCATTCCAATTTTTAATTACATCAAGCAATCAATCAATCAGTTCAATTAATCATTTCCTTTGAAATTTATTTATTCCGGCTTCAATGTGATTTAATTTCATCAGTTATTTCTATAATCATTTATATAAATCTTCATTTTGTTTTTTATGCTTTCCCTACTTATAATACATTCATTTATTCTTGATTTGTTATTATTAATCAATCATTCATTAACTGGGAAAGAAAGTTGAATGAAAGTTTAATTATCTAAATTGTTCGTTTACATTCGAATCTTCTAATTAATTCTTTACCATTTTGATTTGCATAGAATTCTTTTTTTTTTCTTCTGTTACACGAATAAATCAATAATTTTGCAAAAATTCAAGAATGCTAAGTGAGATTACGAAAGCAACACGATACGATGTAACATGAAAGGTCAAAGGTTATACAATTATTGAGATGGGATAAATTTATTTCATCGTGACCAATTGTTTCTTTTATTAGCAAATTTGTATAATTTGATGATTTCAAAACTGGAAAAGAAAAGAATCTGGGAGGAGATATTGTTTATTTGCTATGAATTTCATTTTTTATCAATTTACTTTGCAGAGACAAAAGATTAAAAAAAAATGATAAATGGGAAAAGTAAGAGAAGCAATGGGAAAATAAAGGTTGCATCTTTTGAAATCTCTTGAAACTTATCAGCCTAATACTGCTTAAATTTCCCGAAACCTATCATTTTAGCTTACTAACTTATCAACTTAAATTTCCTGCAGCTTATCAATCTAGCTTATCAGTTTATCAATCTAAGTTTCCTGAAACTTATCAACCTAAATTTCCTGAAAGTGATCGATCTAGCTTACCAACTTATCGATCCAGGTTTCCTGAAGCTTATCAATCTAGCTTACCAACTTATCAATCCAGGTTTCCTAGTTATTAATTAAGCAATACAAAGTAGATGGAAAAGAGAAAGAGAGGAATGAAGCTTTTGTTGTAATGACAGACATTGTTACTGTTATGTCACAGAAATAAATGACGAATAATTTAAATAATGAATGAAAAATATGGTAATATGAGACGACGGTAAGGCAAAGAAATTGCTAATCGTAATATGCATGAAAACAGCTTCCGGTATTTTCCATAGAAATTTGCCGGGATTGCACATTGCGGACTTTTTCTGCAATTTCCCGCCATGACTTTCCCAGAATTTTCCGTAGTGAATATTTTCTGGGATTTTCCACTATGGGATCTTTTGTGGAATTTTCCATCGAGAATTTTTTCTGGAATTTTCGCTGTAGATTTTTTGTAGAATTTTTCATGGTGGATTTTTCTTGAAATCTTCCCAGGATATTTTCTTGGATTTTCCATGGTAAATATTTTCTGGATTTTTCTGTTCTGGTATTTTCTGGGAGTTTCCATTGAGAAAGTTTTCCGGAAGTTTCCACTATGGATATTTTCTGGAATTTCTCGCCATGGATGTTTTCTGGAAGTTTTCATTGTGGATATTTTCTAGAATTTTCTACGACGATTATTTCTGGAATTTTCTATTGCGGTTGTTTTTTTCGGAATTTTCGATGGTGAGTATTTTTTTGAATTTTGTGGATATTTTCTAGAATTTTCTGCTTTGGGTATTTTCTTTTTTTTTGGGAATTTTCCATTGTTAACACTTTCTGGAATTTTCTATGGTAGACCTTTTCTAAAATTTCCCGCAATGAATATCTTTTGGAATTCTTTGTAATAGATATATGGAAATAAGTTAAAATATAAGAAATAAGGAAACTAGATTGTTTTATTAAAATTAATTTCAGTTTTTAATTTTTTCCGTTTTCTTTTTTTGTAACATTATGATATAATTTATTTTGATTTTAGCTTACTTATGGTTAAATATATTATATCTACCCTCTTTCTCATCCTTAAAATTTACCATTTTTACCGTTCAACTTGACTCAATACAAAAAGTAATTGCTATGTTGGAGTTCGAAAAAAAAATTTCCGGATAGTAAACAAAGAAAAAAAACAAACTTAATGAAATTTTGGAATGTTTAATTAAAAAAGCCATTTTGTTATTCATTGATACAACAGTTATCACTATTAACAATTGTTAATAGATATTCTTCGGGTTTAAGGTCTTTGATCAAATTCTCATTGATTACAAAATAGTAATTAATATGAAATTAATCACAAAAATAAGCATTTGCAGCTTAATGATGCTTATATTTTCCATGACCTCTTAAGAATACCAAAAATTTTATCCCAACAAAAGTTATCTGCTATCAAATCCATAAATTAGAGCTCATCAGAAATTAAATTTACGTGCAATAAAAAATCACAAGTAGCGAAATTTGATTTTCCTTAAATTATACTTTCAAAATGATTTTTCAACATTCAAAGAATTTGAAAGTATGTAGGATGATTTCAATTTAAATTTTTGCCAACTGATCACTTTAGCCATTTGCTTGCTTTTGATCAACATGAACATTTTTTCGTTTGTATTTTTCGTTTTGTATTGTTATCAATTAAGATCTTTGCACAAATGAATATTGTCGAAATTAGCAAAGCTTTATATGCAATACAATTAATGAATCATATCTGTCAACTAACTTGACTAATTAGAGCAAATTATGTTTATTTTTGTTTGATTTAATTATCATAGTTAGTGTTGGCTGTGATTAACAACGATTTTTGATTTCAACAATGACATTTTAAGTGTAATTTTTATTTTTAATTTTATATTTCAAAGGATTTTCACAGCTACAATCCATCGAAATATTGTAGTTATTTCATAATGTTGCTGTAAAAAATGCTTTCTTTTTCATCATATTTGTTAATTACTTACATGTAATTTTTACAATTAACAAAGAAGTTATATCCAACCTTTTAAGTCAAACTTTTTTTGCTTAATGTAGTCTGATGTTTAAAAAAAAAAATTTATGTTAATGGCTAAAACAGGCTAAAATATCGGGCTAAAATGTTATGCAAAGTACTGCATATTTGCATAGATTTTGAATGAAGCAAGGATTGTCAATATAGCTTATAATTTATGGCTTTCAACCACATTGAAAGGAAGTAAAATATTTTTTTTGTTAAAAGTAAGCGCTCATTTCATAATTCTAGAAAGTACTCTTCGTCTTTTTTTCTTTCTATTTCAACTTTCAAAGTTAGATTAAAGGGTATTTGAAATTTTACTGAACAATTTTCATTTCAAAATTCATTTTGGATTATATAATCTATGATGTGTCTTCATATAAAAAAGCAATCAAAATCCGAAAGTATAAGAAAGTGATCAAATATCCGGGAATATAAGAAAGCAACTTAATACTACGAAATATAAGAATGAAGCTGAGATATATGAAAGCAAGCAAATATCTTGAGAAATATAAGAAAGCAACTTAATACTAAGCATTGTTATATTTCGTAATACTGTCAGTTATGAGAAAGAAACCAAGATATATGAGTGATATTGAACAAGTATCCTTAGATATAGGAAAATATCTTAATAAATTCAAGATATATGTAAGCAGATTTAGAAATAAAAATGATCTAGGATGATAGATAATATACTAGAATAATGGAATATTATAGACATTAATTATGATTTATTTTCAACTTAATATATTTGCATTAGTTGAAAATGTTACTAAATAGTAGAATCATCATCATCAGTTTGATCGTTTCAAATGTTATGAATGGAATGAAATGAATAAATTATTAAATACAAATAAATGGAGCATTTGTTTATTTCTTTGACAGATTAAAATAAAACTTTCTCAAATGTTGAATTTTTTGAAACAAAAATAAAACGAATTAAGTAATGGACAGAATGGGCATTTCTATCGCTGTAAATTCATCATGTTACATTCAATATTTTCAAAATTTTAACAATTATAATAAATCAGAATGATATTATAATAAATGAACAAAAGATGATAAGGAAGAAGAAACTTCATTATTTAAATTAAATTTTGTTGCAATATTTGAAAGTTCTTATCATAATCATTGTTTGTTCAGGAAAATAAGAACTGATTAAATTCAACAAATCAATGCTGATCAATGATCACATTAATAAATGGAAGATATTTCAAAAAAAAAAAAAAAAAAGTTTAGAAGGGCATTATTGCAAATGAATAAAAGGAAACAAACCAAACATTTGTGATTGGCAAAATTAAAAAAAAAAGTAATTAAATGCAAAAGTGAAGCAAATAATTAAAAGATTGATTAACTATATCTATAGTGGCAGTTTTCATCCAATAGTTTAGTAGTAGAATAAAAAGAACTGATAGTATCAAAATAATATTAATCCTTTGAAATGATATTAAAAATGAAATACTGCAACATATGGGAAATTAAGGATAAAATATGAATTATATAATTATATAATTGAAATAAATCCTCCTTTTAATTGCATTATTTTCTATAATTATATTTACATTCCTGTATATGATAATGTATTTTTGCAATTTAATGATAATTCATACGTCACATTTCATTTTAGTAATAATTTTAGGGTAAAAATTTTTCAAAAAAAAAGAAGAAAAATTCTTAAAATTATTAACTAAAAGGTCAGAAATAATATTTATAAAATCAATACATTAGCTAGCAATAATAAATATTTTTATTTTAATATTTTAACAAGAAGGTCTGAAATTTAAGGATTATCCATTAATTATCAGTATTGAATGCTATCAGAAATTGATGTCATTGAATTTGATAAAAGTTGATGTCATTGATAAAGTTCAATGTTTGAATGTAAAAAACAAACGAAAGTTAGTAATACTTTATAAAATTTCCCTTATTTGCTAAAAAAGAGGACGAAGAAATAATTGTTTATTTAATAGCAAAAAATTAATTACTAGATATTAGTTGCAATGATATCATTTAACTTTTTGTTTATTCAATTTTAAATTCATAACCCATTTATTCAATTTTAAATTCATAATCTCAATTAAAAATTTGTTTTTAATTACTAACACTGATTAACAAATAGATTAATTAAACCACTAGCAATGTATTCGTTTTTTTTTTCGAGAATGAATGAAACATTTTTGGATATGATTAATTAATTTACTTCCCAGTGATAAGCATTCCATTTTTATATTAATTTTTATTAATTTCGGAAATTCATTTAAATGATACTAACCAAGCAACAAATGATATTTTGCAGTTTTAAGTTGACTATTTACTATATTTGATAATATTATTTGACAGGTAATTAAACAATCAATTAGGATAATTAACAGTTATTAATATGTTAATTTATGGAAATCATCAAAACATGAAAAATGTAAACTTTAACTGATTAATTAATAATAGAATCATAATCAAAATGTTAATTTGCTATTTCAAAAGCATTGTTATATCAATGAAATTTTACTTTACATAAAAATTATAATAAAAATTGGAAATATTTTTTTCTTTTCTGATATAATTTTTCATAAATTTTTAATAATTAAATCGCTATAATTTTATGAAGTTTAAATTAATCAAATTGATACAAATATTTTTTGCTTTATTGAAGCTATTAGCTACATTTAATGTTGCAAATAATGGACAAAAAAAAGGAAAGGAATTAACAAATTTTTCATACATTTAAATAAATTTAAATAATTTAAGCCCAAATAATCAAACGAATTTCTAAAAATATCAAAGTAATTCTAAAATTATTGAAATTATGGCATGCATAAAAGATAGCAAACAGAAAATTACTGATAAGTACTGTTAATGTAGAATGAGAAATAACGGTAGCATAACACTGATAAATGCTGATAGTGTTAATTAGAAATTAAATGGACATGCATAAAAGATAGCAAA